CTGTAAGGAGTGTGGTGATATTTGCTGCACCTCGGGAAACACTGCAGTGTCTGCTGAGGCTCTGCTCTCCATGGGCTGCCCTCAGCCATGGCTAGAATCTGAACACCAGGGCTGCCTGGCTTTTGCTGCTTCTGCCATTGGTGTGAGATTCTCAAAAACTCAATGCCATCTCAGGCTCTTCCTCCCAGCCCTTCTTCCTCCCCATATCCCTTTCACAGATACCAGACCCTTGTCTGGTCTGAAGGATTTCTCCTATTACTTCAGCTTCCTCTGCCCTTTGCTTTTCACAGGTATTTCCCGGCAATAGATCTCTCTGACTTCTGATTCTATCATAGCATGTGATCCATCATGGCATCTATTTCCTGGAGAATCCAAAAATGACACCAGTGTTTCCTAGTCATTCCTTTGTTCACTTTGTTCCTTAGTTCACTTTGTTCCTTTGAGCTGTTTGAACTTCTGTCATTCTGTTCAGTCCAGCTATTTTCTTCATCCTTACTTTGGCCTATACATCTTCACCCCATCAGAAAAATATGGCTCCAGACTCATAGCACTCCCTCTGGCTTTTTAAATAAGCTAATAATTCTTTTTTGAGAGATTTTGCACACCAGCTCCCTGCCTGATGCTCTCCTCTCCACTCTTTGAGGAGTAGAGCTAGCTGCATCTCATCTTTATATCTCAGCTTAAATGTCATCCCCACAGCAACACTTTTCTTGATCTCCAACTCCCCTCACAATTTTTATTCTCAAGCATGCAAAAATCTGAGATTTCTCAGTGTGTGTTTTGCAATCATTTGTTCCTTTTCCATTATCTAGCAAGGAAGATAATATTTATTTCATTAGCCACTATTGACTCAGCAACTTAGTACAGGACCTGGAAAAGATTCATGCTTAGAAAATGTTTATTTAATTAATGTTCTTTCCTTTCACTGACACAGACCTCTTGTCTGAATCATCACTATTGTGTCGTCAACCTTCTTGTTGTTCACCTTTGCTAGATTGCTCTTCCCAAAGTATAGCTTTTTAATGTTTATTTCTATCCAAAAAAGCACCACAAACTCCACATTACTAATGACAGACACAGATGGCTCAGTCTGGCACTCAAGGAAGCATAGCGCCTATCCCACCTCACTTGAAAGTCAAACTGCAAATCACTACTCTCCAAGCTTATTCCAGGCCCTCCATGCCACACTGATCTTTGGAATGTCTCTCCCCATCCTTCTTCCCTTTCAACATCTTTATTGGTGAAAATATATGTGGATCTTCCCAGTGCAAACTCTTCCTCTTCCTCTTAAATGAATGTACTACATTCTGCCTTAAAATCCCATAGCACAGTGAGGTTTAGTGCATCCTTACGTGTTCCTTTTATGAGAAGGATTGTTTACTTGTCTTTTCTTCCCTTACTGAAGTCCAAGATGCTTCATGATATGGAGATTCTTATACATCTTTTCTGCTTTATATGGTGATAAGCACATATTTTCCTATTAAGAAATGTTACTGTTATTTAGACATAATAGTGTAATACTGATACCACTTTCTTTTTATGAATATTAAATAATATATATACAGTTGACCCTCCTTATCCATGGATCACACATACATGAATTCAACCAACTGTGATTAAAAATCTTAAAAAAAATTGTGTCCATACTGAATATGTGCAAACTCCTTCTTGTTATTATTCTCTAAATAATACAGCATACAACTTTTTCTTTTGGCCATACTAGGATTTGAACTCAGGGCCTCACACTTGCTAGGCAGGTGCTCTACCACTTCAGCCACTCTGGCAGCTCAACAGCATACAATTTTTTTACATTGCATTTACATTGAATTAGATAATAGAAGTAATCTAAGTCTACAGAAGGCTGTGTATAGGTTAGATGCAAAGAGAACTCCATTTTATATAAGGAATTTGAGCATACACAGATTTGGGCATCTGTGTGGGGGGACACCCCCATAAATACCAAGGGACAACTGGATGATAAGAGAAGATATGAAGTGTAGAGAATAAGGAATAAAATCTACTGCAATTACCAGTCCTTCCCCCACAACATTCTATCATATATCTCTCTTTTTCTATAAGTAATATTTATATTTTTTAGTGATAATGGGGTGCATTGATCTTTTTGTGGGGGTGCAGTGATGGATTTGAACTCAGGGCCTTGCACTTACTAGGCAGGTGCTCTACCACTTGAGCCACACCCCCAGTTCCATAATATTTGTATTAACAGAGACTATCCTGAACATAAAAGTTTGTATTTTGGATAGTTCTGGCTTCTGTTGAAACATGGTGGCCGATTTTAGTCCTAAATCTTCTCTTTCTTTTTCTAGATAGTATATAAACAGTAGGAGAATGAAAACAACCAAGTAAATTCATAATATATTTAGTCAAAAGAAAGAAGCAATAGAGAGGAGAAAATTTCAGATTTCTTATAAGCACTGTGGAAGGTGAGGCTGATGAAAAGTCTGTGTTGGTCCACAGTAAGGCCAGAGCTTTCAAAGGATTGTGAGGGCTGGAAGTTCTCAGAGATGTCTAGCATCTTGTCCTTCCAGAACAAGAAAGCTCCACTCTGAATGGGATAAGATAGAGCTGGCAGGTTTGCTAAGGGAGGCAGAGAGTGAAGGTTCAGAACAGGCCTTGAAGCTCAGAGGCAAAGCAAAGTATGACTCTCCCAAAAAAGAGTGATAAGCCAGAGAAATGAAGGTATTTTGGAAGCTCATAGCAAGTGGTAGAAACTCTTCTGAGCAAGGCTGGGGCTTGACACTTTGTATTGTGGCCTTTTTGATTATTTTTAATTGAATTACAAGCAATTGTATATAGAAGTTGCAGAAATAATTTAAAGGCCTAGATAATGACTTTTTTTTTCAGAGAAGGTTTACTTCTGCATTTGGAAGGCATTTAGGTTACAGGGAACTCTCCTTAATTCAATTTGGGATTAAGATAATGGGAAAGTGGGTTTTAGTCTTTTGCAGTGTCTAGTCCAATTATTACTCACATTTAGTCTTCTTCCTGGTTGGCCTTTGTATTAATTTCCTTGGGCTGCCATAAGAAATTGCCACAGAAGTGGCCTATAGCAACAGAAATTCATTTTTTCACAGTTCCAGAGGCTGGAAGTCCAAAATTGAAGGCATTGGAGGACCATGCTCTCTCATGGCCCTGGGAGGAATCCTTTGCCCCTGCCTAATTCCTGGTGTCTGCAGAGATCCTTAGCATTCTGTGGTCTGCAGCTGGGTCGCTCCAACCTCTGCCTCTGTTGTCACATGGCATCTCCTTTTATGTCTGTGTCTTTGTGTCTCTTCTTGAAAGGACACCAATCATCTTGGATTTAGGACTCACCCTAACCCATTGTGAAGACTCTACTTCCAAATTAGTTTATATTTGGAGGTTCTGGGTGGGCAGTAATTTTGGTGACACACTATTCAATCTAGTACAGTCTCTTACTTTAAGTCTGTCTATCCTTGGGAGAACTCTGAAAACTCTGTTCAGCTTCTCATCTTTTGAGCCATGGCTTCAGAATAAGAGAATGTCTAGCTTCCCCTCTGCATTTCTTAAGGTTTTTTGTTTTATTTTTTTAATGAGGAAAGTTGATTTGATGTGTTTGTCTATCATGGACTGGCATGGATATTTATTTATACTGACTTACTTTTTTTCCTCCATTATTTCTGTTGCTTTTTATTCTTTCTTGAGTACTTAATTTCCATTTGGTATCATTTCTATTCATCCTGAAGAACTTCCTTCAGAATTCCTTGTAGTCTGAGTTTTTTAGTGAAAAAATTTTTTGGTTTTCTTTTTAACTTATGTTTATTTCATCTGCATTACTGAAGGATATTTTTGTAGGATATAGAATTCTATATTCCCTCCTACCTCTTTAAAAATGTTCTACTCTCTCTTTGCTTTCAATGTCTGGTGAGAAGTTGGCTGATTGTTGACTGTTATTCCCCTATATGTAATGTGTCATTTTTCTGTTGTTGCTTTCCAGCTTACTGCTCATGCTTGGCTTCTGACTGACTGACTCTGACTTATGTGTCTAATTGTGGCTATCCTTCTTGATAGCCACAGAGCCCCTTGAGTCTTTAAATTTATGTATTTCATCAGAGTTGGAAAATGTTTGGCTAGCATTTCTTCAAATAGATTCCACCACATTTTTCTTGCTTCTCCTCTTTTGGGATTCTAATTATAGCTATGCATGGTTTAACAGGCCCCTGAGACTGCTCATCCTTACCCCCAATCTTTCCCTTCTTTGCTTTGTGTGCCAGTTGGTCAGGTCATATACTTGCAACTGCAAATGAGAAACAGAATGTGTGCTAGAGGAATGAAGAGCCTTAGGAATGTTGCTAGTAGAAAAATGGCATGTAGATACATGAGAAAGGGGGAGGGGTCTTCACAAGGTCCCTGCTGAATGTCCCAGAAAAATTATCTCTTGTAGTTGAAAGAAACATGCAAGATCACACAAACATAAAGTTGGCTTTGTAAAATGCGTTAAGTATGCTATAGTTCTATGTTCTCTGTGAAAGTGCAAATGGAGAATTTTTTTCATCACCAGAGAAAATGGGGGAAATTCTGGTATCCATCCATGGGGTAGCATCCATTTGTGAGTTCTGCCCCACCCTCACCCCAACTATCTGAACTGTGACACAATTTTACATGGGAAAGACTTCAGGTAATGTTTATTTGGAGAAAACTATGTTGAGGAGTAAGAGGTGGGGGATAGTTTGGAGATTGTGCTTTATCACAGAATCCAGAGAAAAATCAAAGGGAAGTGAGAAGGGTCCAGCCTTACCAACCTGAAGAAAGAAAGGCAACAACAACAAAACCCAGCATTAGCTCAACCCTGAGGTGTCGGGCCAGGGGGTGCTGTGGATGTGTTCTCCTGGTTTCTGGCCGCTGGTGCTGGGTAAGGCTCCGAGTCGCATTTGAGGAGGGGGGGCGGGGAGGAACCTGCGGCTTGCGGCCCCGCCCCCTTCTCCAGCTTGCGGGTGAGTGGCAGACCCGCCTCCTCCTCCCGCCGGCCCTGGGGCAGCGTCCCCGGGGTAACTCAGTAGTCCAGGCCTGAGCTTCTGCCCGCAGGTGTCGGCGCCAAGACTCCATGGTGGGTTTCGGGGCCAACCGGTGGGCTGGCCGCCTGCCCTCCATCGTGCTGGTGGTGCTGCTAGTGGTAATCATCGTCCTTGCCTTCAACTACTGGAGCATCTCCTCCCGCCATGTCCTGTTCCAGGAGGAGGTGGCCGAGCTGCAGGGGCAGGTCCAGCGCACCAGGTGGCCCGCGGTCGTCTGGAGAAGCGCAATTCAGACCTCTTGCTCTTGGCGGACACGCACAAGAAAGAGATTGACCAGAAGGAGGCCGCCTACGGCCGCCTTAGTAGCCGGCTGCAGGCCAGGGAAGGCCTGGGGAAGAGATGCGAGGATGACAAGGTTAAACTACAGAACAACATATCCTATCAGATGGCAGACATACATCATTTAAAAGAGCAACTTGCTGAGCTTCGTCAGGAATTTCTTCGACAAGAAGACCAGCTTCAGGACTACAGGAAGAACAATACTTACCTTGTGAAGAGGTTAGAATATGAAAGCTTTCAGTGTGGACAGCAGAGCAAGGAATTAAGAGCACAGCATGAAGAAAATATTAAAAAGTTAGCAGACCAATTTTTGCAGGAACAAAAGCCAGAGGCCCACAAAAGTCAATCAAATGATGGAAAAGAATTGGGTATAAATGATCATATAGTACCTAAAAATAACCCAAAAGAAGCTGAGAATGCTGCAGATAAAAATGAAGAGCCCTCAAGCAATCATATTCCAAACCCTCATGGGAAAGAACAAATCAAACGAGTTGGTGATGCAGGGATGCCTGGAATAGAAGAGAATGACCCAGCAAAGGTTGATGACCTTCCCGCTGCTTTAAAGAAACCCCCTGTTTTAGTTTCTACACATGAAAGTCACCAAGCAATCTCCTATCTTCCAACCAGACAACCTCTCTCCCCAAATATGGCTTCAGATTCACATGTAAACCACAATGGAAACCCTGATATTTCAAAACAGAACCCTTCCAATCCTCTTCAGCATTTAATTCCAGACTCAAATGTGGAGACTGAATCCAGAATTCAAGCAGACATACAAAAGCAGGCCACCAAGGACAGAGTCAGTGATTTCCACAAATTGAAGCAAAATGATGAAGAATGAGAGCTTCAGATGGATCCTGCAGACTATGGAAAGCAACGTTTCAATGATGTCCTTTAAGTCCTAAAGGAAAACATCAGAAAACCTAAAGTGCTGTAAAATGGAATCATTTCTACTTTGTTACTTTTTGACTTTTGTTGTAAAGACAAGTTGTATCAGTTGTAAGGATACATTGAGATAGATTTAAGGAAAAACTTTAATGAAGGAATGTACTCGTGTACGTATATGAACTTTTTCATATTGTATTATTAAAGCAGAGAGTTTTTTGGTTATGACACAGTTGAGCCAAAAACAGTTAATCTTTGCATTTAAAGCAAACTAATGTATATTTCACATTTTATCAAGCCTAATTTTTCCACAAATAGACAAGCAGGAGAAAATAGTTGTATAGGTTGTATATTGCACATCGCAAAACCACAAGTGAGAACATTTACTCAGCTGAAAAATTTTTATACACTAATATATTCTTGTCATCCCAACAGGTGTTCTGTTCTATCTACCCCTCATTTAATGCTCTTCAAGGAGTCATGCCTAGAATAGTAATACAAAAGAGGGGACACTGGATACCAAACACTGGGGAACATGTGTACAAAATCACCTCCCTACTACTTTTATTTTAATGAGTGCTGATATTGTTTGGGCAGATTAACTTTCAGCTGAGGCCTGATGAAAGTTGAGATAACCTTCAAAGACATAACAATATTTATAAGTTACTCCTTAGTTCTTGAAATTGTGGAATGTATGATTGACAATATATTTTCAATTTTTATTTTTTCAAGTAATACCAGTACTGTTTTAACTACAGTCAGCACTGGTTAAATTTTTTTTTGTTATTTTCAGAGTTCAAGATGGTGAAGATTATCATTATGCTACACCCTGAGCCTACTTTGAAATGAATCTGCAATCAGTATTTCAAAATTTTTTCTTGTAGTTGTAGTATATTATTTGACTAGACTTTTTCAGAACTACTAAATAAGAAATTTTAACTGGTTCTTATTAATGCACAGATAAATAGAAGTACAGTGAGGTCTACAGCTGTTTTATTAAAATAGCTTCAAAGTTTGTAATAAAAATGGGTCTTTTTAAGTACTTAATATGTTAGTTAACAACCCATCAACCTCATCTTTGTCAGACTCACAAAATTATTTTCAATGCATTTTTGTCATTTTTGACATCATTCAGTAGAATGTGTAAACAAGCTAATGCTTGTTTTCTGATTTAAAATACTTCACAATCTTATTTCAGTCGCTAAAAACAAAAGGTTTTGAAGTTAAGAGGAAATTTAAGGTTGTTAACCCTGTTTTTCAGAAAGAATACTAGAAATTGCACATAAACATGAAATTTTGGGCTGGGGTATATACAGGTCAGTGGTAGAGCATTTCCCTAGGATGTGTGAGGCCGGGGTTCAGTCCCCAACACTGAAAAATCAGTGAATTAATAAACAGGAATTCCCTCCTTCACTAAGGTCCAGTCAAAATTCAAATTAATATAAGAAATAGGTTGTTGACTTGCTGAGGTATAGAGATTCTTAGACTTCAGTTCAGAATTATTTAATGACCAGAAAATTATGCAGATATTTACTAGAATTGTTTTCTACCATATCAAAGTAAACAATTCATGCTTTTGTTATCAGTAGGGTCAGGCCTACAATGAATAGGTTTGATGGTTCACAGAATTTTTTAAGTGGAGTTAAAGGGAAGTGATATACATCCCTTGGGCATTAACATGGAGAGAGAAATCTGAAAATACTCCTAGTGATACTGCATATTAAATATTGTAAAATCTTTTCAAATGAAATTATCTGCCTTAGTTCCTATGTCATAAAAATAGACACTTGGTTATATGGTAGCTATGTCTTACACAGTGAAAATTTTCTTCAATTAGCAGCCTAGACATTTTATAAACAGAAATCTTGAACCAATTGATAATATTTTTGACTATATTAACATTTTAGTGCTATAAAATACTATGTGACTCTTAAAATTCTGACATCCTACACTCTATTAGACATGCAGTTTTTATAACATTTTACTTCTGCCTTAAAGTTTAGGTTTTTAAAATGTATTTTTGCCCTGAATTAAGTTTTAATTTGATGGGAACTCTGTTTTTGAAATCATCACTTACTGGGTTCTAATAAATTAAAAATTAAACTTGAAAAAAAAAAAAAACAAACAAAACCCAGCATTAAAAGATGGCATTTCTGTGCCAAAGGTTTTGTTATTCAGATTTTATTTCGACGAAATGGCATAATTAGAAATGATGTAATTGTTATTTCTCTATTCATCTGCTTTAATGTAATCTTTATAGATTTTTCTTGAAATTTTATAACTCTTATTCCATCATAGTGTTATTAATGTGTGTTTGGTTAAAGGCAGTATATTGATACTTTAAAATATTTGAGGATAAAATCTGAACAACCCTTTAATAACGCTCACATGTTAACCTTGACTGAAATAGAGTCAGCAAGATGCCTTCCTGTACACAAAGACATATGTCTCCAGGGGAAAATATTGCTATATATTTTTGAAACTTTTTTGGTAAAACATATTAATTTTTAATTTAGTAATTGGTTATAGCATATAAGTAAATAAAGCTGTGTGTTACCTCCAATCTATTAATGCTCAATTTGAGTCTAAGAATTTCAAGATAAACTAATCAAGAACAGTTTTTATCAAATCAAGCCAACCATCAAACTCTTTTTGAAAAATACATTTTCCTCTTTGTTTTGAGAGTAATTATTGATCTTTCATTTGTTTTTGTGTTTGTGGGCATGTGAAAGCATAAGAAGGGCATGGAAGCCTGTGGAGCCTGCCCATCCTTTGAACATCAATCCTGCAAACCAGGTGGTAGATCTCCTGAGGTGGTGCACAGCCCTGAGAAAACCCTGTGTTTACTAATCCTGGGAGTGTTGACCCTTGAAGTGGGGTCAATTGGAAGTGGAACCAACAGGAAAGGAATTCAGGTCCCCTGGGGATCTCATGGGCAGCATTTTGGTTTCCTCTGAGAGCTCATGGATCTCCAGCCCTTCTACCTTCTCCTTGCCATAGGCCTGAAGTAGGGAGTGAGGGCTCTGGGTAGGATGAAGGCTGGTGTCTTTTTTTTTATTTTTATTTTTTTATTATTCATATGTGCATACAAGGCTTGGTTCATTTCTCCCCCCTGCCCCCACCCCCTCCCTTACCACCCACCCCGCCCCCTCCCTCTCCCCCTACCCCCTCAATACCCAGCAGAAACTATTTTGCCCTTATTTCTAATTTTGTTGTAGAGAGAGTATAAGCAATAATAGGAAGGAACAAGGGTTTTTGCTGGTTGAGATAAGGATAGCTATACAGGGCATTGACTCACATTGATTTCCTGTGCGTGTGTGTTACCTTCTAGGTTAATTCTTTTTGATCTAACCTTTTCTCTAGTTCCTGGTCCCCTTCTCCTATTGGCCTCAGTTGCTTTAAAGGTATCTGCTTTAGTTTCTCTGCGTTAAGGGCAACAAATGCTAGCTAGTTTTTTAGGTGTCTTACCTATCCTCACCCCTCCCTTGTGTGCTCTCACTTTTATCATGTGCTCGTGGTCCAATCCCATTGTTGTGTTTGCCCTTGATCTAATGTCCACAAATGAGGGAGAACATACGATTTTTGGTCTTTTGGGCCAGGCTAACTTCACTCAGAATGATGTTCTCCAATTCCATCCATTTACCAGTGAATGATAACATTGCGTTCTTCTTCATGGCTGCATAAAATTCCATTGTGTATAGATACCACATTTTCTTAATCCATTCGTCAGTGGTGGGGCATCTTGGCTGTTGCCATAACTTGGCTATTGTGAATAGTGCCGCAATAAACATGGATGTGCAGGTGCCTCTGGAGTAACAGTCTTTTGGGTATATCCCCAAGAGTGGTATTGCTGGATCAAATGGTAGATCAATGTCGAGCTTTTTAAGGAGCCTCCAAATTTTTTTCCAGAGTGGTTGTACTAGTTTACATTCCCACCAACAGTGTAAGAGGGTTCCTTTTTCCCCGCATCCTCGCCAACACCTGTTGTTGGTGGTGTTGTTGATGATGGCTATTAAGGCTGGTGCCTTGATGCAGACATGAAAGATAAAGCTCCCACTGAATCTCCAGCAGGTGGTTCTTGTCGCCTGGTGTGACTTGTGATTGTCTCTTGCTGACACTTCAGCAAAGAGGGAATGCTCAGATACTGAGCTGTCCTGGTTACGCAGCTTCCCTGTTTATGCAGAACAAAGCAGGCCTTCTTGCTTTCTCATTTGTTTCAGACTACTTTTATTTTGTTTACTTATTTTTGTGGTACTGGGGATTGAACTCAGGGCCTCAGTGCTCAGCACTTTAGTCACACCCAAAGTCCTTTTGCTTTTAGTTTGCTTTTGAGGTAGCATCTTGTTAAATTTTGCCTGCGCCGGCTTTGATCCGCATATCTCCCCCTCCCATGTAGCTTGGATTGTAGTCATGTGCCTCCATGCCCAGCTCAGACTCCTTTTAATACTTCTTTCCCTAACTCAGTCTGTAGGATCTCTCCTTCTTGCCAATCTATGGAATATCAGGAAATAATCTAATATCAATCACTTTTTCTGGCAGGTGGGGGAAGTGGGTAGTCCTCTATTTTAAGGCATAGATTTTACTGTAAAATTTTAAAAAAGCTTTTTTATTTCTTTTTGCTACTAACCAAGTAACTTAGCAGGACATATTTGGGGGAGGAAAAAACTCATCTAATGCAGGAGAAAGGTTGACCTTAGAGTAAAATGTAACTAAAAAGTTGTGTATGAGTTGATCATTGGAGGTGTGTGGAGAGTTATGGTTGAAGTGCTAGGTTAGTTGAATCATTGGTTCATTGAGCTTTCCTGTGCAAAATAGAAAATATCAGATATCCATATTGCATTTCTGAATGACCAGTTTCTCTGTGTTCTTCCTCTAATAGACTGGCCCTCTTTGCCCAGAAGCTATACCAACTCATTGCTAAGAAGATCAAGCCTTAAGAGCATTTTCCAAGGCAAGATTGGTAATTGAAGCTGAGTCACCATTCCCAAGAGTTCTAGTGTCATCAGTAGACTA